TCCTTGAAATATAGATATCTCTTTATTTAAGGTTCAACTGGAGCATTGAAAATGCTTTCAAAATTCTGCTTTCCAAAAGTATAAAATTGTAGCAAAGTAAATGTCACTTGATTTTTGGTTGTCCCACTTCCTGTTTTTTGCTGTTCTATAGTTCAGATAGATCAGGGTTAGGCTTTTCCCATAAGTTGGAATTTGTCAGAAGCAGCCTGCAGTGTGCTTTTATCGCAGACTTGTGGAAAGACAGGTCAGCAGTTGAAAACACAGATCATAGAGAGGAAATCAGAATCTAGAATAATTTTCTTTTCCTTGTGGTTACCACCTATATCACCTTGGGGTTTTGATGGAGAGGATGAAAGCAGCTGAAAGATTTTCCCTGTATTAATTTCAAAACACTGCCATGAAAATGCAACGCTCAGAATGTCTCTCCTTAACTGCCTCGCACATAATGAATCCCTCAAATGTGAACGGTTAAAATCTCAGAAGATAAGAAGACGCCCAGAATCTTGTCATGGATTTCACCCTGAAGTAAGTTTCTGTCTACTTTTTCTTTCTTTCAGATTCTAGTAAATGTTTTATTTCTTTAAAAATAATAAACAGGAAAAGTGTCTTCTGAGATGAAATGTTGGGAAATATTCAGAAGACACAGTAGTAAGGGAAGTGAGAGATACTGTAAGTGCTACAAGCCTGGTTTTGTACTCATGCAGACAATGTCTTAAGCTGCTGCTTTTGCAGACTGTTTTGTTTCATGTAAGAGAACGTGGTAGGATGTGAGCACAGACTGGCAGCCAGGAATATCTGAGGATTCACTTTGGCTCAAGCACTGATCACAGATTCCTTGTTAGAGATGGCTGGGAACTTTGTGCTGTTCATGTTTGTTTCAGTAATTAGCGTCAGTATCATCCTTTTCAGGCCACAGTCATTATTCTTACCCATAATATTGCTTGGAAGGGATAGTGGCCCCTCCACMACACACATTTACTGCTCTGTGCTCTGCATAACACTTGTACAGTGCCAAGGAGATCTGATAGAGACTGGGATGTGATTGTGGTGGCTCGTGCAGTGCAGGTTCATAGTCATCCTCTTGACTCTGGAGTGACTTTATTTCTGCCTCTGATGTTGAATGCAATGTAGAAGCACATCTAAAGTGGAGGAGGTGGTGTAGTGCTTGTTGATCATGCTCACTTCCAGTCTGCAACCTAAACTCATTAAACTCAAAGCCTTTACCTGTGTTACTTCCTGAGCCTGTTTATTTCATGGGTTTTGTTTGCTCCAGAGCTCTTMTGCCTGCGTTTGCTAAATAATCATGTGCCGTAATTGAGTGTAATTTCTTGTATTTATCTTCCTTTGCTGTTGTTTTCTCTTCTTTAGGAAAATGCAAGAGAATGTGGCGGTGTCTCAGGCCTTAGTGCTAAACCTTCTCTTGTTCTTCTTGCTCTGCTATTGRCGATTTTCTCCAGGTGACATTGACTGATGTGTTCAACTGGCATGCTAAAACATGGATAAACTGTGAACTGGGAATGGTGCAACATAGAGGACATGAAATATAGTCAGAGCATCAGCATTTCATGATTTTAAACTGTTGGTGATATAAATTCTTAAAGATAYGTTGAAAAAATATTTATCTTTTTACTTTGCAAGTCATGCAGATGTGAATTTGGCATATGGTAGTCATGAATCATCAAAAAAGGACTTGGTAGATAGAGGTGACCATTGCTTTGTCCCATTGAAAACAATTTAAACTGTGTACTTTTTTCAATAAAGTATATTAAAATCACAGTTTCAGAGTGTATTTTAAGWATGCTACTATATTTGTTCAAATAATGAATGATGGGAAGAAAATAAAGTAAATGGATGATATTTTATTATGCTTTTAGCCTCTTTCTGAAAAGATTCAGAGAAGAAAATGTGGAGTTGGCCTTTACAAGAAGGCAGAATAGCTTTAATTAACAAGTTAAGGAAACACTTATGTGTGTGAAGCTGAGCAGGTAATGTGTGGTGCTGAATTATAGTGAAGGTTTATTTTCTGGGAATAGCTATAAAACAACTTATCTGCATTTAGAAAGTGAGTCAAAGCCTYGTTAAATCCTTGCTTCAAACTTGGGCAAGCTTTAGATCAAATTGGTGGATTTGCCTGCAGATGGCAAAATGAAATACTTTTCACCCAGAGGAGTAGGAAGGTATTTGGAACAGCCCATGCAGAAGGGTGGCACTGTTCTGTGTTCTACCCTCCAGATCTCCTGTCAGACAGGGAAAGCTGTGAGCAGAGAGAGTTTGATTTGCAGCACATCTGCATCAGCAGAGCCCACTGTTGGTTCTCACTGAGTGTCCCTGTCTGCAGGCAAAGATTGAGACCAGGSTGTTTTTATTCCAGGCCTTGCATTCTCCTTGTAAGGGAGATGAGATAATAAAGATGAGCKTATTCCCTTTGCAATTGGCAGCAAAGTCCCTGCTGGGGACAGATTTGCTGAAGATCTTGATCTTTGACCTGTGGTAGTCTCAGTTAATGTTTGCAGTTTTATACAAAGTGGAACGCTATCAGAGGATAACGTGTCTGCCTAACAATCTAATGCATTAAATGCAAAATAAAATGCCACTGTTCTCAGTCTGGTGCTTGGAGATTGTCGTTCCCTGGCTGGGTGTAAGTTTGCTTTCAGCCTTGGATCAACGCTGAGCAGATTTGCTGTGTCTCTTGGTAGGGAACAGAGAGCCAGGCCACTGAGAGAGGCTTTGTTTGGAGGAATACTATCCAGCTTGTAAGAGGAAGAACTAGCAAAATGAAATTTCCACTTCAATGCTTTCATGGATTCAAATGCACTGGTACTTCCTCTCATTCTGAAACCATACAGGTCTTTGTCTGGACTCATAATTTCATTTTCCTCTCTTTTTTTTGGAGTGTTTTCCTACAAACTCCTCTGTCCYTGCTTGTTGGTCTCTAAATCACACACTATGGAATAATTTTCCAGCTGACATTCARTCAAACTGTTGTCCTAGTGACCTGCTCTGTTTACTAAGCAAATTGGGAACTCGAGGCATTTTCTCCTCTTGGGCTGATGCAGGTATCCTGCCGTTCTTTGCTTGGTTTTTCTCTGAGCTCCATTCCCCCTTACCCTCCATCATTCTCTCAAAAATTAATGTCAATACTTTATAAATAAAGTGTTTTGGTATCTGATTGTCTGAGCTTCCAGAATTCACAACACTGCAGCCTCATAATTCTTTTGTATGTCTGATGCTTGCTCGTTTGCAATTTTATTTTATGTTTATAGCCAATAAAATACAGGTGATTTTCATTGTTAATAAAAATGGAAAAAAGCATCTTTCCCATTAGAGCTATTGAAAAACTCTGCATACAACTGTCTGATGTGTTAATCATCATTGCTTGCAAAAAAAAGGAAATACATTAATAGGGAAAAGTTTATTTCTACAGAAACTAGATRAAAATGTGTAATAACAATTCATTGTTAATTTTGGAAAGAGGTGGGCAGATTTGTAACTGGAAAGAAGCCAGGGAGTCACAAGATAAATTGAAATATGTCAGCCCAAATTAATATTGAGAAGGGGATTAAAATATGGGATATATAACCGAATATTGCTCAGAGAAATGTGACATTTCATTTTCACACACTAAGGCAGAGTTACGACAACAGAATGCATTGGTGCACACAAACAAGTCACTGCATGAAACAGAGTCATCCAGGTCAATTGCTAAGTGTAAAAACATTTTAATGCCATTTCTCTGCTGTTGAAGCCATTTCAGTTCTGTATGTGTTCCTTACAAGTTTCTGATGCAGTGTGAAGCCAGGTTGGTAAAGCCAGTCAGGAAAATGGGCACGAGGCTGAGTGTGATGTGTGTGCACAGTGATCCCTTCTCACAGGGAATGGTGCAGCAGGAACATCCTGCTCTGAACAYRGAAATGATGGCTGTGAGTCTCAGGGACAGAGTTCTCTGACAGGGGCTGGAACAGATTCCCAGAGAAGGAATTAATGTGATCTCATGGTAATGCAAAGTAACGTTCCTGACTGACTTTGGGTTTGCTGCTCTGTATATCATTAGTTCTGGAGGTGTGGAGATACCATGAGGTGGGTCTGTGCTGTCAAACTGTAACCTGTGGCAGGTTCATAGAAGGTTCTGGAGTTTAATTCCACTACCTCACTAATCCAAGATGCTATTCCTGTTAAATCCTAAAATTATTATGCAAGGTCTGATGCAAAGTCCATTGCAGTAAATAGCCAAACGAATATGTGTGCATGTGTGTACATACAKCTGCATATGTGTAAGCTACATGAGCTTTTAATAAACAGGAAATTCAGACATTTTCTGTATCTTTTATCTCCCTGAATCTGAGGACAAAGCCAAGGAGATCTGGGGCAAATGTACAATCAGTTTCTGCACAGCAAGAGGCAGAGCTGAAAGCTCTAGCTTTTAGCMGGGCTTGGATCTTTTTTTTTTTTTTTCTTTACTCTCTTTGCTAATGGCATTGATTTGCAACTTATTAGCCCCAGCTGCCTCATCTTCCTTTAATCTTGATAAAGTAAAAGCTGTCTGGGGGCTCGGGGCTGGCCATGGACACACCATTCTCTAATGGTTTTGTGTGGGAAAACTGTCCATAACTGTCAGTGCTGCAAACACTCCTTTAAATCCTGTGAGCCAGAGAGCCTGGGGCAGGTTTCCACAGCTGTGCTATCTCCTCTCATTGTTTTTGTGACACTGAGAYTGCCTGACCCACTGTGTTCTGCTGCCAGGGCCAGCTCTGCAAGATGTGTGTTCGGTGACACAGGTGGCTGCCCAGGGCAAGAAGATATTAAAAGCAGCAGTAATTGTTTCATTGCCTAAATGGCTTCAAGAGGCTGTTTCGGTTTTCTTCTGATAGCAGGAGTCCCAGAACAAGGCACTGGCCTGTTTATCCCTTTGGGTTCACGAGGCARAGCACAAGTTTGGCTCAGAAGGTTTGTGGCCAGAGGCCTACAGTTATTTCCATGTGTTTCCTGAGCCCTTGATGGCCTCCAAGGACTTTTATATCTTGGGACTTTCTGTGCATCAGAAATTCCAGCTTGTGTAGATTTAATATAAATAGGCACTGGAAAGTTTTCTGTGGAAGAGTGCATCAAAACCTTTCACCCATGGAAAATATTTTTATTTCATTTTCCTATTTGATTATTCTTTTCCCTGAACTGCCCCAGATACTCCCAATACCGTGTGGCTTTTTTCCTACTTGTTCAGACCCTTCCCCATGTATTTATCTGACTCCCATTCATCTGTACACAACAATGTATTCCCTGAGACAGGTCCTGCTCCCATGGATCTGCTGAGAGAAAAATGGTTCCCAAGCAGAGTATCCAGAAAACCTCCCTGGAGTTTATCACAATCCAATCTCAAGTATCCTCTCTTTTCTTTAGCCTTTGGCCCTTAGGTTAGATCATATTTCTTCCAATATAATAAAGTCCTTGCTATTCCTTGGGTGGATTTACATCCTCTTCAAGAGTCAGTCCCTTGTTTCTTCCCAAGAACAGTTTTTGGAGCTGGCTGTTATAATTTGGATATATCAGGTCACAGACTATTCTTGTGATGCTCTGAGTGGAAGGCTCTATCTTCAGCTCTTCCAGACTTTTTTCCTTCTTCCCATGGTAACTGTGGGTAACTAATCAAATGTTGTTTTATTATTTGCACATCAATACAAATTTTTTTTTTTTTTGTTAATTTACAGCTCTTGCCTAGCACATGCTTTGAAGAATTTTTAAAGCACAATTTTAATTTAGGAAGGACTTACTGATTTTCCTTGCATTAGACATTTTAAATTATTTTCTCCTAAGTCTGATGGTGTCCTAATTAAGAATAGCCAGTCAAACTGAGGATTGATGCAGACAMCCAAGTGATGAGAGGCTGAAACCTGAAGAAGACAATTTCCCTTTCACCAGTTTTAGCAGATTTGATTGCTCATCACTGTGGCGGGAATAACCAGGTAATTGTGTTTGTGTCACACTACCCTCTCACACCTCACCAGGTGTCAAAAGCTCACATTTGTGCTCTGCTCTGCTSTTMACAGCTTCTGGCAGCAAATGGCCTSTGYTGACTATGTAGAAATTTGCAGGTAATTCACACAAAACTGACAAAATAGTATTGGGAAAAAAAAACAATGCAGAATCAAAATAAGTGGCTTGAGAAGCAACTGTGTTTCCTTGGTATTTTCATCATTAATTGCAAATCCTTTGTTATCTTTAAATGGAATTAAGGCTGAATTTCCAGTTTGTCATGTCACAGTGCTGTAAAACCCAAGATGCTTTTGAAGAGTTGAGCTCTAGTTCATTCAAGTAGTGCAGAGTTTGGTTATCTGTGACTTGAATTCTTTTATCAAGAGGCTGTAAGGAGTTGACAGCTAGTAGGGCCTCTGTAAGATCAAGCTGGAAAGCTGTTTTTTTGGTTMCAGATGTGGTCTTGAACTGCACTTATATGTGTTTAAAGCAGCCTTGTATGAAAAGGTTACACTTGACAATTCTGAGTCAAATTTGAACCTTAACACCAGAAGTTCAAGTGGTTAATGCTGGGTTTGTTTGACTATGTTAGGATTTAGTTTGCAGCTTTAACATGCTGGGTATTTCACTTCCAGGAGAAAGGGAAGATCAGATTTCAGCTCATAGCGAGAAGTGTTTTGAATCAGCTATTTAAATGTCTTAGGCAGAGTGCTGAATGTTTAATARAGGAAACTAGCTGGGATAGCTGAACTGACCAAGATTTCTTTGGGCACACGTGCAAATGTGCAGATGAATCCTGAAAGAGGAAGTACAGAATTGTTTCGGGTTTTTTTTATTTTGTTAGTCATTTCGCACCGGCCTGTTGGGTTTAACTGGAAAAAATGAAAGATTATTTTTCATTTGCCCGTGTTGTTTGGGGCGTGTGTGTGTGGGGGGAGAATTAATTTRGAAGCAGTCAGATGCATTCCTGGATCTTCTAATGCTTCCTGTGAGACATTGCTGTGATATGTGCAATAGTYAAGAGAGAATCCCAAGTTTCTGACAATATTTTTTTATCTGTTATAGTTAATGAAGCTGTTTAGGTACATCTGTTTCATGTCTACAGATGTGAGTSCAATTATTAGGGAAAAAAGTAATCTATTTACATGGCTAGTTTCTAAGCATCAAAAACAAAACAGAGCCACAATTAATTTGTAATTCCATTATCTCTAACAGACTTTAAAAACCAGGACATGAAACCTGGTCA